ATTTGATGGAATGTTTCGTGCAATTGATGATGGATGGTCATGCAAGCATGATTTCCCACTTTCCTTTTTCTTCAGTTTAAAATAATTTTCTCAGTTCTTATCTTTCCTTTTAAAAAAAGAATATGTGGTCCAAAACACTTCTCTCTTTTAAACAAATTCTAACAACTCATTTTTCATTATTAAACATCTTTTAACATTTTAACACTTTTTTAATCTCCGTGAAGTTTAATCTCCGTGAAGTGAAAGTAAGCAAATTAATTGTGGGCGGAGGGAGTATATAGGATCTAAGAATAAGGGGCTCTTATTGAGCTTAACTATGTTTAAAAAGCCAATTTTTGCATGTAAAATGGTCCATCCTTGATTTTTTTTTAATAGTGTAAGTGAGGAGGTGTATGCATCAAGGCTTATGTCCCAATTAAGTGCAGCATAAGATTCTTTCTGACAGGAGAAGAGGGAGCACCAATGCAAATTTTTATAGCTTTGCCTTGATGCAATTATCTATAGCTTCGCCTTGGGGTGAATCTGGCTCAATAGTTATTTAAAACAATGTGTTTTTATTATCCATTAAGGCATAATAATGGGATATGATTAACCTAGAAAACAAAGAATTGTGTCTGCTATGGTTAGAACTGACGTAGTAGATTACAAAGATGGTGGATTGAAGTGCCTTTGAAGAATTACTTGCATGTATGTGCATCACATTCTTTTTTTGATTTTTTCTTTAAACTTTGTTCTGAGATATGAGAATTGGGACAAATATATATAGTTCATCTTGGGTATAGCAAGTTGACCGTTGAACTTTCATTGTTTTAGATGTAGAATCTGGTAGTTTTTTATGTGGAACCTTAAATCATGATTAAGAATAGGAATAAGATTCCCTGTATGTGCTTAAGACTAAGATTAAGACAACTAAAACAATTTCCCCTATCATCATCATCAGAGGAAATCCCATAAATGGTCTTTTACAATTAAGGACGTTCCACATTAAGACAACCCCACATTTAATTGTAAACATTACCAGTTTTAGCTCTTTAAGTCATTAAATACCTACTAAGGTCCTTAAAAATTGGAATCTTGCTACTTTTATCATCTGTTAGTGTATCATTTTGAGACCCTTTGCTAGAAAGAGAAGTAAAATGGCTATGCTCACAATTAAAGTGGACCTCCAATGTAATTTCATAAAGTAGTGGACTAAATGTGGAATGTCCTAAATCTAGGAGGCCATTTGTGGATTTTACTCTTGTTATTATACTTGTTCATGTTATTATTATTGATTATATATTGCCACAAATCCCCTTGATACAAGCGGGATATTCTACCAGCCCAAACATGCCTAATCTTCTTTTATCCCCCTTTTGGGATCATATTTAAATTATATTGCCCTATACAAGATTTGTGAACTGGTTACTGGAAGAAAATGTGTGTTTGGAATATGCCATTCTTTTCTGAAGACCCTTGTGTTGACACCAATCAATTTCTTGTTTGTGTAGGCATGTATATGGTTACCGTTGAAAGACAATTGCAGAATAGAGAAAAAATGATGGCCGAATCGTTGGCTGCTGCAGAAGAAAAGTCATAATGGTGGAGAAACTTGACAAACGCGGGTGTGGAGATTTAGAAAACGCCTTTCTTTTTTTTCACTTGGCACTGGTTTCCCGTGTGTTCATCTTAATTGTGCATTTCTGCATTTGACTACTTCTTGTGATAATAATGTCTTGATGTGCCTGTGATTTCAAGCAGCATCGTTCTTGCAATTTCATCGTTTAAACTACCCTGTCTTTTTGTGCTCCATATATTAAACAATGTCAAACAACCTTGTTTTTTAAAAATTTTTTAAATAAAATGAAAGTACTAAAAGTATAAAACGTATACTTCTTGTCACAAAGTACTTCAATTTTGGATTTTTCGAAGTTTTAAAAATGGGGGATTTAAAATGTGTGTTACTTAGGGGGTGTATTGTATAAGGATTATTATTCATTTAAATAAAAATCAATGGAATTTAAAAGTCTAGGTGTGTTCAATTGTAACTTTTTAAAATCTATAAAAATCTAGATGTATTCAATTAGGATTTTAAAAAGTCATTATAAATTCAACGAAAGTCTAGCGGTATTCAAAATGGACTTTTAAAATTGAAAAAAAATCTTGAAGTATTCAAAACAATATTAAACCCATGGATTTAATAAAATCATTCATATATGAAGATATTTTACTCCAGGACTATATATACTCTTTTTCCATTGAGATTCAGACCTTAATTGCTTGCTTTTTTGTTTGATTTCGTTTAGTCGTTTTTGTCGGATTCCATGTGATTTTCTTCTATGAACCATTGATTATCGTGTAGCAACCCGGAATTCGAGTAAAAAAAATTCCTCATCAGTTAGAAATTTGGAACTGCGCCCTTTACAAAAATTCTTCATTCGATTTTTTTATTTGACAAGTGAGAAATTTGGGACAATTGATCCCCCAAGCAATTATGGGTATTAGTCTTGAATCGGGTTTAACCCCATAAAAATTTGAGTAAATTATGTGTTGAATAATTATGTGAAAGCAGCGGAAAATGGTGCATAGCTAGTATAAAATACAGAGTATTCACTTTTTAGTTTTTTAGCTCCTTTGTACTTTAAAGGGTTAATTGGATGGGTTTCAAATTTTCAATGATGGCTCAGGATATCCACTTCGATCAATATGACAGTAAAAATGAATTGGCCTGGCCTGCATAACTGACTTGGCAATTACACTAGTATTTGTGAAATAAAACAAGTAAAGAAAATGGTAGGGATGAGAGATAGTCTCTGTACAGTCTTCTTTTTTTCTTCGTAGGATGGTTGTTCAAACTCTAGTATTAAGAATGAACTGTCTTAGAATGAAAGTGTATCTTTTATTCAGGTGATGAAAGCAAATGATATGCCTTGTTATAGTTTTCACCAAAATATTATTGCCAGAATTTTGACCATTATGATGAAAGGTGAAAAAAATATTAACTTTTTTATTATGATGAGGAGAGATTGCAGATTGTGTTTTTGTTGTATGGAGTTCTAGTCTATCTCCCACTTTCCTTGTCATTAAACCAAACCATGCAGTGTTGTGATTTTTATTGTTTACTACTCACTACTTTTGCAGTTCAATTTATTTGAAAATGAGTGTAATTTAGAAATAAACTTTACTTGTATATATTTAAAAAACCATATAAAAAGTTGAATTACACTCCTCAAGAAGAAGGGTTAATGTTATGAACTTTTTAAAAACCAATATAAAAAGTTGAGTCTACCATGCCAGTTGAGGAGTCTTGAACACATGTTTTCCCCTTGATTTTTGGGAAATAGGAATAGTTTATATGATTTTTGTCTTATTTCACGTATGATGTAAATTGATTTATGGTTGACTGTATACTATCATAGAGATGGAAGATTCACAAGAGAATGGTAAGCGAAAGGATTATAAAACTTGGTCAACCGAAGAGAGTAACAAATTACTACAATTGATGGTTGATGGAGCAAAACGTGGTCTACGTGATGTTAATGGAGTCATTACAAAACAAACAGTGGAAAAGAAACTTCTTCCAAAACTTAAGGAACAACTTGGTTATGAAATTAGTTTTAGTCAATATCAAAGTAGAGTGAAATGGTTTAAGAAACAATACTCTAATAACTCTAAGCTTCTACGCCATAATTCTGGATTTGGGTGGGATGCAACCACAAAGAAATTCACTGCTCCTAATGAAGTATGAGAAGATTACTTAAAGGTGAGCTTATATCTTTCTTCATTTTTTTGCTTTAAGTTAATGCTTAAAATCGTGCTCACAATTTGAGCGTTTTTGTTCTATCAGTCCAATCCAACACATGGATTTTTTCGGACAAATACTTTTTCACATTATGATGACTTGAGAATCGCGGTAGGAAATGGAACTGCAACAGGCATGAATGCAATTGGCCTTGGCAATGACACAGATGCCACTATATTAGAAGTAGAAGAAGAAGATGAAATTGATGGGTTTGAGTCCATAGACAAGTTAGTCTTTGATGAAAATACTAATGCCTTCATACAAACTAATCTAGCTTCACCAGAACCTACAAAAAGTTCAAACATAAAAGATCAACCTTCATCACACAATAGTGTCCAAGGAAAAAGGAGCAGAGATGATTTTGAAAATAGAAAGGGAAAAAAGGTTAGTAAAACTCAAGATGAGGTCCTAGTGAACTTGTCAAGTGGGTTTGAAAGAATTGTTAAGAGCTTTGATAAAATTTGTGGCCTGATGGAGAAGAGAGAGTCGAGAGAGAGTGACCTTTTGGATGCCATGAAGGAGACGCCAGGACTAACCGATGATAAATGCTTTATGGCTCTTGATTTGCTTAACGCCAAAGCAACGCAAGATTTCTTTTTGAAGATGACTCCTGAACAACGATTAAGTTGGATCATTTCTAAACAAATGTAGTAGTCTTAAGAGTTATTTTAGCAATAGATACTTTTTTAGGTATTTGTTTTAAATCTATTCCTATTAGTAGTTGAGACTTATGTGTTTTGAATTACACCATATACTTTGATGATTTTATTATATATGGGAATTGATGTACCTTATTTATTTGTTTTTTTCTTGTTAAGCTATGTCTGAAATGGATCTATATGGAGCCAATGAAGATGAAGTAGAATTTTATGAGGCAGTTAAAATATTATTATTAGCAATAAAAGCAGTTATTTATGTGATACATAATCTCCTTTTGAACCTTGGTGGGGAACCTGTTGGACGTCCATTGACTCGTCGATCAGTGACTTCTAGTGGATACGAGTACATGCACAAAATATTGGATGATGACCCTCATAAGTTTAGAATGCTATTCAGAATGTACCCAAATGTGTTTCGGAAATTATGTTTTATCCTAAAAGAGAAAACACCTTTAAGAGACACAAGGTATATTTGTGTTGAAGAAATGTTTGCAACATTTTTGCTAGTTGTCGGTCAAAACAATCGTTATAGTGAACCTAAAATGATATTTCAACGATCACACTTCTCTATTAGTAGAAGTTTCAACAAAGTGTTGAAGGCTTTGAATACAATAGCACCAGATTTTATGGCTAAACCAGAGTCTGTACCATACATCATCAAGGAGAGCACAAGGTTTTATACTTACTTTAAGGTAAGTTATGAAAATTAACACTAACATTAGACCATCTTAATTATACACCAATAAATATTCATTTTTTAATTAATTTTTCAGGATTGCGTTGGAGCGATAGACGCGACCCATATTCCAGCAATGGTAGTTGGGCGTGAAGTGAGTAGTTATCGGAATCGTCATGGGACTATATCTCAAAATGTCTTAGCTGTATGTAATTTTGATCTGCAATTCATTTACGTGCTTAGTGGATGGGAGGGATATGCCCATGATTCAAAAGTTTTAAATGATGCACTTTCTAGACTAAATGGGCTCAAAGTGCCATCAGGTAAATATTTTTTCTTCTTAAATTGAGTCTCTAATTATTGTAATTTATGCAACACATAAATGCATACAGATTAAATAATATTTTCATGAATAGGTAAATATTACTTGGGGGATTGTGGTTTTCCAAATCGTTGTCAATTTTTAACACCGTTTCGAGGTACTCGATACCATCTTAAAGATTTTGGCGGAGGAGGAAATCACCCTACCAATGCACAGGAGTTGTTCAATCTTCGACATTCTTCCTTAAGAAATGTAATTGAGCGAATATTTGGAGTATTCAAGTCACGATTCACAATATTCAAAACAGTACCACCATTTTCATACAAGACACAAACCGAACTTGTTTTAGCGTGTGCGGGACTACACAATTTTCTACGACGTGAGTGTCGTTCAGATGAATTTCCTCCAGCTCCGGATGAAGACACAACAAATGAAACAGATGAGAGTTTTGAATGGGATGATACTCAGACACAAGATCAACAACGAGAGAAAGCTAACGAATGGAGATTGAATCTTGCAAATCATATGTGGGCAGCAACTAATAGTGAAAATAGTTAATTCGTTACTTTAATTATTTTACAACTAGATTTGTTTTCATTTTTGTTGCAACATTTGATTGAGATGATAAATTTAATACAATGCAATGTTTTCCATCTATTTTATTAGCATACTTACTTTTACCCTGTATGCTCGGTTAAATTTTAATTTTAAATTCAAATTTGATAAATTTTGATCATTAATTAAATTAAATTTACATTAACAATTAGTATTAAAAATAATACAATTAGAATTGTCTTGTAAAAAATATTTTAATTTTTTTTCCAGTTTATTTTATACACACACACACACACACACATGTATATACATATATGTATATGTATGTATGTATGCATGTGTGTATGTATGTATATATACGAAATATGTATTCCATTAATATAAAATTTATTTTGTCATTAATTGAAAATTAAAAGTAATCTTATTTGAGTGTAAAAAATAATGCTGGACGGACATACTTGGATGGTGGAAATGAAATCTATAAAATTATTCAACTAAAAGTCCACAGACTTGTTAAAATCCATAGAAATTATTTATATAAAATCAATGACTTTTAAAATATCAATAGAAGTCTATGACTTTCAACACAAGTCCATTGACATAAATAGAAGTCATTGATTTTAAAAATATGAATACAATTCCTTATACAATACACCCCCCTTAGAGTCTTTGGAATGTTCAGGTCTTGGTTGAGTTGAGTCCGAGTCTAGGTCTAGGCGTACGCTCGTCTGTTATTTCATATTTAGATCTCAAATCATATTTGGATTACATTTACATCTCACATAAATAGTGGGGGGATTTTCGTGATATTGGAATCCAGAGGCGGACCCACTTTGAGTCCTATGGGGTCCCGGGACCCCACGGACCCCGATGTAGGTCCATATAGGTATTAGGTTTGTACAAAGATTAATATATAATAAACGCGAAGCTGTTGGAAAACAAAATTGCGATTGGTGTAGCGGAAGCGTGCGGAGCATGGAGTTTTAAAGTATCCGAGGTTCGAATCTCATCCAGGTCATTTTGGCAGAAGTCAGTTTTTTCTCTTTTCTTTACCTTATAAAAGAAGGGCATGGAGCAAGGTAAATAGTAAAGCGCGCGTGTTCTCTCGACCACACTCTACAGTGACAGCCCCAAAAGATAATTAGTGTAAAAATTTTTGTTTATTTTAATATACTTGGTCCGTCCCTGAGTGTTTGTCCACTTTTGACTTTTACAATTGTTCATCTAAAGACTTTGACTCATCAAATTTTTTCAATGTGTAATCCTAAAAATAGTCATGTGTGATCTTGTTTGATTCGTCTTAACATATAGATTATTAATATATAATTTTTATAATTTTTTAATATACAAACACTCAGGGACGGAGGGAGTAATTAATTTTTATGGTAATTTGAAGTTTGATATATGATTAGTAATATATAAATATATAATAATTTATAAATTTATTTTTTATTCATTACTTATTCATTAAAGAATCAATTTTTTTTCTTTAATAAAAAATTGATTTAGAATTGCAAGTGATAAGTATTATTGTATTAATGTTCATTTTATGGTAGTTTGAAGTTTGATATATGATTAGTAATATATAAATATATAATAATTTATAAATTTATTTTTTATTCATTACTTATTCATTAAAGAATCAAATTTTTTTCTTCAATAAAAAATTGATTTAGAATTGCAAGTGATAAGTATTATTGTATTAATTTTCATTTTATGTCTAATTTATGTAATTAATATTAATTTTTTATTTACAAAATTTAAAATCTAAAGGTACTTCAAAAAGCTACCCAAATTCAAAGTTTCAGACTCGAGTGGAAATGTGAAATTGGTAATAGTGTTGGTGCTCCGGTGTCTCAAGTAAATGTTTCATCTATAGTTATTCAAGAAGGTACTCAATCCACTCCATCTTGTTCAAGAAGGCACTCAACCTTCACATGTTCAAGTTGACCCTGAATTTTATGTTTTTAGAGATGTCTTATCCACTATTAGTGATGATGTAATTATAGATCATTTTTAAAGTATGAAAGCTAGACGAGTACAATTGTACATGATATTATTTTCGTATGACTTTATTTCTATGTATTAATTATGGTATTTTTAAAATATTAGTTTTTGTAACACCCCAAAATATACCCTAGAATTATTAATAAGTAATCAATTCATCAAATTTGTTTTTGATTAAAATAAATTATTGTTGGGCTTTAGGCCGATACGAAATTTGTTTTGACATCTAATATCAAAATCTGGATAAGTCTCATAAAGATAAATCCAATATGTAGACTATTTGTGTGGTCTTGACTGGGAATCTGAGTACAAACCCAAATCAAGAGTAAATAAAGAATTTGTTTAGAATGTAAATATTGAATTGATTTGTTGAAAATAAATCATTAGAATAATTGATATGAATTAAATGAGAGAACCTTTTATGAGAAAGGTCAATTAAACCAATTTTGACTCTGTTAAGGTCAAAATATGATGTCGGAAAAAGTATTACAAATAAATATAAAAATTATATCGTTAGATAGAGTTTAACTGCCCGATCGCAACGGTGTAAACGGAATTCAATTCGGAGAAAGTTGGATCAAAAAGTGTACCCCGACTGGAACCAAAATTGGTCCCAATCAGGGACACTGTGCGAACGGCGCCTCCTCCTCCACTCAGCCGATTCCTACGTAGAAGCATTTTAATAATGTCCTCTTCCCCTTCATCAACTCCTATATAAGGAGTACTCAAAACCTTCAAACATGCATCATTTTTTCTCAAAATTAGTCCATATAAATCCTGAGAGTGAAGAGAATGGTCTGGTGTTGTTGATTGTTGTTGAAGTCGCCGGAGCTAACCACAAAC